TACTTTGTTGAATTGTAATTTTGTGATTGTAATTCTGTACATTTAATTAAGTTACTGTTAATTGTTATTGGTTTATTGTAAGTGGCTATTGTTCGGGACGAAAAATACTAAGGAGGGCCAGTGTTGCATCAGCGAGGTCACGTGACTAGTATCACGCCACTCCTTCTCTCGAACCTTCGTGAATTATCGGGAGATTACTAGATTGGGGTAGTCTGGTATATATAAGATGGTCACAACGTGACGGGAACAGTGTAGTAGTGAGTAATTGAACTGCAGTCAGAGAGTGTCTAATTGAACTCGAGCACGTGAGACGTTCGTTGAGAAATATAACGCGGGGCCCCGGCATGGCCAGGTGGTTAGAACGCTCGACTCGCAATCTGCAGGTCGCGGGTTCACATCCCCATCCCACCAAACATGCACGCCCTTTCAGCCGTGGGGGCGTTATAATGTGATGGTCAATCCCACTATTCGTTGATAAAAGAGTAGCCCAAGAGTTGGTGGTGGGTGGTGATGACTAGCTGCCTTCCCTCTAGTCTTACACTGCTAAATTAGGGACGGCTAGCGCAGATAGCCCTTGTGTAGCTTTGCACGAAATTCAAAACAAACAAACAAACAATTATAGCGCGACTGTTGAAATTAAGTGTGTCGTAAAGTTGTATTTGGAAAGAATAAACCAGTTTTATTTAAGAAAGGACTTATGTCGCTAAAGTTTCGCCGGAACGAAGTTACTAAAAATTAACTAACGAATTGAGAAGTACCAATATGTATAAAATGCTGATATTTTTGGGGTTTTTATATGACATGATTCTTTGTGTGGCGGCATAACAACAGCAAAAGGTTTTCTATAAACTGGTGTTTCTAAGTTACCTTCTTCCTTCCAAACTAATACGTCTAAGAAATTAATGTTATTATTATCTTCAATTTCACACATGAATTGAATTGCTGGTTCTTTGCTGTTTAAATAACTAAAAAAATATTGTAGTTTGCTGTTGCCATGTCGCCACACCACGAATGTATCATCTACATATCTTATCCAAACTTTTGGTTTAAATTTAGTGTTATTTTAAGCTTCATTTTCAAAACTATCCATAAAAGGTCACATAATGTCTACACTAATGTTTCCACTGTCTTGGCTGGCGAAAGTATCAGCACTAGAAGACAAAGCCCATAAATCTGTTAGCTTCCTAGTTTTAGCTACTACTTTCTCTTTTTTTGACTTTGGTTTTTCCCAACCACTCTTGTGTTTGTACTTCTGTATAATGGGTAAAATGAATATTTAATGAATATGTGTGTGAGTGTATAAGCATATTGTTACGTCTCCATTTGTTAATTAACTTTCCGTAACTTCGTT